CTCAAATGTTTTATTACGATTAACTTATAAACTTGTTTTTTGCTTATCTAATTTTTCTTTACAAATATTGAAAATATCTTCCTTATTTTATAATAAATGCCTTATATTTGAACATTCAAAAGACTTTCACATACATCACTGCTTGTAAGAAACTGGTTCTGTGGTCAACAAAAGACCAGGAAGGTTATTCTGGGGTGATTCAGCAAACGAGGAATGAAATGTGGGGTTCCTGAATCCCATCCAGGGCTCACTTCACTGTCAGAGTGTGGAACAGAAAAGGATTTACTTTTTCAAATTATTTTTAAAAAACCTGTATGTTATTGTAGAATGTGCAATTTCTTAGAATCCAGTCTTTTCAAAATAGTATGCTACAGTAAGGAACTTTCAAATTCATCCAAGCAGATAAAACTAAGATGCACGTATTAACAAATCAGTTTCTAGCACATTAGGTACAGGTACTAGACAACCAGTGCACATTAGACAAATACCTACATCTAGTGTGTTGCAGGTTAGCCACTCAACAGCACATACCTTCACATGATCAAAAACCCACGTGTTCAGTTTTGTTACATCGTGGGCACCAAAATCCTCACTGGATGCATCGTTAAGTGTGTGCAAACATATGGTTTCCAAGGTCACCTGAAGAGGAAATTTGGGGGAAAAATTTTTAATGGCATGCCACGGACCATGGTGTATGCTTGAACATATGCTGTTGCTTTTGTTCTCACAGTAACATTTTCCAATTTTACAGATACAACTGAGTTGTAATTTAAAATGCTAAGAAAAAAAAATCACAATGCTAGTTATTATACAATAGTGTAAAAGTACACAACAGAATTTGTCTTTAAGTAAGGATGAAACTAATCAAAGAATTTGGGCATCTAGGGATGGTACAATCTAAAACAGATTAAGTCACCTGTTTTACAAAATTCCCCAACCAAAAAGAAAATTCAAATATTTCAATTCTTTTGTTCATAAAATACATGCATTTTTCTCAATATATGAGAAAAAATACTGATAACTGCCAAATAGTTTGAAAGGGTCAACAAATATATTAATCTTATACACTTGTAAGATTTTATTAAGGATCTAATCAACTTAGTGAATTTCTGAGTTAGATAGCCTCTTTTTTTTTTTTTTTATTAGTTGGAGGCTAATTACTTTACAATATTGTAGTGGTTTTCGTCATACATTGACAAGAATCAGCCATGGTTTTACATGTATTCCCCATCCCGATCCCCCCTCCCACCTCCCTCTCCACCCGATCCCTCTGGGTCTTCCCAGTGCACCAGGTCTGAGCACTTGTCTCATGCATCCAACCTGGGCTGGTGATCTGTTTCACCCTAGATAATATACATGTTTCGATGCTGTTCTCTTGAAACATCCCACCCTCGCCTTCTCCCACAGAGTCCAAAAGTTTGTTCTATACATCTGTGTCTCTTCTGTTTTGCATACAGGGTTATCATTACCATCTTTCTAAATTCCATATATATGTGTTAGTATACTGTAATGGTCTTTATCTTTCTGGCTTACTTCACTCTGTATAATGGGCTCCAGTTTCATCCATCTCATTAGAACTGATTCAAATGAATTCTTTTTAATGGCTGAGTAATATTCCATGGTGTATATGACCACAGCTTCCTCATCCATTCGTCTGCTGATGGGCATCTAGGTTGCTTCCATGTCCTGGCTATTATAAACAGTGCTGCGATGAACATTGGGGTGCACGTGTCTCTTTCAGATCTGGTTTCCTCGGTGTTTATGCCCAGAAGTGGTATTGCTGGGTCATATGGCAGTTCTATTTCCAGTTTTTTAAGGAATCTCCACACTGTTTTCCATAGCGGCTGTACTAATTTGCATTCCCACCAACAGTGTAAGAGGGTTCCCTTTTCTCCACACCCTCTCCAGCATTTATTGCTTGTAGACTTTTGGATAGCAGCCATCCTGACTGGTGTGTAATGGTACCTCATTGTGGTTTTGATTTGCATTTCTCTGATAGTGATGTTGAGCATCTTTTCATGTGTTTTTTAGCCATCTGTATGTCTTCCTTGGAGAAATGTCTGTTTAGTTCTTTGGCCCATTTTTTGATTGGGTCATTTATTTTTCTGGAGTTGAGCTGGAGGAGTTGCTTGTATATTTTTGAGATTAATCCTTTGTCTGTTGCTTCGTTTGCTATTATTTCCTCCCAATCTGAGGGCTGTCTTTTCACCTTGCTTATAGTTTCCTTTGTTGTGCAAAAGCTTTTAAGTTTCATTAGGTCCCATTTGTTTATTTTTGCTTTTGTTTCTAATATTCTGGGATGTGGGTCATAGAGGATCCTGCTGTGATTTATGTCGGAGAGTGTTTTGCCTATGTTCTCCTCTAGGAGTTTTATAGTTTCTGGTCTTACATTTAGATCTTAAATCCATTTTGAGTTTATTTTTGTGTATGGTGTTAGAAAGTGTTCTAGTTTCATTCTTTTACAAGTGGTTGACCAGTTTTCCCAACACCACTTGTTAAAGACGTTGTCTTTTTTCCATTGTATATCCTTGCCTCCTTTGTCGAAGATAAGGTGACCATAGGTTCGTGGATTTATCTCTGGGCTTTCTATTCTGTTCCATTGATCTATATTTCTGTCTTTGTGCCAGTACCATACTGTCTTGATGACTGTGGCTTTGTAGTACAGTCTGGAGTCAGGCAGGTTGATTCCTCCAGTTCCATTCTTCTTTCTCAAGATTACTTTGGCTATTCGAGGTTTTTGGTATTTCCATACAAATTGTGAAATTATTTGTTCTAGTTCTGTGAAAAATACTGTTGGTAGCTTGATAGGGATTGCATTGAATCTATGGATTGCTTTGGGTAGTATAGCCATTTTGACAACATTGATTCTTCCAATCCATGAACACGGTATATTTCTCCATCTGTTTGTGTCCTCTTTGATTTCTTTCATCAGTGTTTTATAGTTTTCTATGTATAGGTCTTTTGTTTCTTTAGGTAGATATACTCCTAAGTATTTTATTCTTTTTGTTGCAATGGTGAATGGTATTGTTTCCTTAATTTCTCTTTCTGTTTTCTCATTGTTAGTGTATAGGAATGCAAGAGATTTCTGTGTTTTAATTTTATATCCTGGAACTTTACTATATTCGTTGATTAGCTCTAGTAATTTTGTGGTACAGTCTTTAGGGTTTTCTATGTAGAGGATCATGTTATCTGCAAACAGTGAGAGTTTCACTTCTTCTTTTCCTATCTGGATTCCTTTTACTCCTTTTTCTGCCCTGATTGCTGTGGCCAACACTTCCAAAACTATGTTCTGAGTTAGATAGCCTCTTAAAGGTCATATGGAAGAGATAGAATAATGACAATCTCTTGTAATAATGACAAGCTAAGCTCTAATGATACTGGTTCCACTCCTCAACCATTCTACTCTTCAAATCCCAAGTAAAGATCTGAGTGAGCCTGCAAGTTATTATAAGAAATGGAATACTTCTATTGGATTGTCTCCAGTTAAGGCATTGATCCTGTCCTATGAACTGTAGTCAGAAGTAGGGAGGTGAATTTGGTAAACCATAGCAACTGCATATTCACCACTACCAAAGAAAGCTTAACTCCTTGCTCCTTGGAAGAAAAGCTATAACGAACCTAGACAGCATATTAAAAAACAGAGACATTACTTTGACAGCTAAGGTCAATCTAGTCAAAGCTATGTTTTTTCCAGGAGTCATGTGTGGATGTCAGAGCTGGACTATAAAGAAAGCTGAGCACCGAAGAATTGATGCTTTTGAACTGTGGCATTGGAGAAGATTCTTGAGAGTCCCTTGGACAGCAAGGAGATCCAACCAGTCCATCCTAAAGGAAATCAGTCCTGAATATTCATTGGAAGGATTGATGCTGAAGCTGAAGCATCAATACTTTGGCTACCTGATGCAAAGAACTGACTCACTGGAAAAGACCCTGATGCTGGGAAAGACTGAAGGCGAGAGGAGAAGGGGATGACAGAGGATGAGATGGTTGGATGGCATCACCGACTCCATGGACATGAGTTTGAGTAAACTCCGGAATTTGGTGATGGACAGGGAGGCCTGGTGTGCTGCAGTCCATGGGGTCGCAAAGAGTCGGACACGACTGAGCAACTGAACTGAACTAAGGGAGTATATAAATGGCAACCAGTATGAGCTTTTAGACCTGCTCTACATAATAATGTTCTGTGACTATCATACAGAAAATTCTGAATATCTCTTTTGCTTTCGAGATATAGAATAATTTTTAATAATTCTGATTGTTATCATTTATAGTATAATTATACACATGGCTAAAGGTCCAAAGCTTTTCATTAGGTGAAATGCTACAATGCTCTCACTAAAAAGCATGTAATAACATAAAATTCAAGTGGAATCCAGTTGATTCTAGAAAATGATGCAAATGAATTTTCTCATCAAGAGATGTTCTCATATTTGCAGATTCATGCACAGAAACACAACAAATACAACAAATCTCAATGGCATGATCTCGAATACATGAAAATAGAAGTTATAAATATAAATTTTTACATTTAAATCTTTATGTGATTATCTACTAACTTCTTAATAATCAAAGTAAGTGAACATCATCACCATAATGAAATCATTGTAATAAGCATTTTGGTCAATATTTCACATGAATTAACTTATTTAACGCCCAAAACAAACCCATAAGATGGAAATTATTATTATAACATTTTATAAAAAAGAAAACTGAAATTTAGAGAAGTTATCTAACTTACCCAAGATTAAAAAGCTGTTAGATGTTAGAATCATATACCATTTCACTGAATCCAAGGTATTTAAACTGTATAATCCAACATTTTAAGTACAACTAAGATGAAAAAAAATCAAACTCACACATCTATTATAATATACACTCATTTCAAAGATGTTAAATGTGTCAAAACATGTATCTCATAATCAGTAAAATGTAGTATATATTTTAAATTACCATATTGATTTATTGCCTACTTAGTATCTGGGGAAATCAGTGACTCCTACCTTTGGCAAACATAGTCACGATGTCTGGGCTTCCCCAGGACCATGTGTACCTGGTTTCATTAAGAAGAGAATCAAATTCTACAGGAGTTTCCTTCCAGCCTTCAGGTAATTGAGAAAAAAAAACCAAACAATGAAAATAGTAATATTTAGATGGTGAAGTATTGGTATGGCTCCTGAAGAAGTATTTTTCAAATGATAACAAAGAGGATTAACTGCAGAACAAATGCAAAACTAACAACAGATTTTGTTATCTGTATTATATTACAAATTTTTTTTTTTAAAGCTTACAACAGTTAATTGACTTCTTACTAAAATACAGAATCACTTTTGAACTTTTGAGTGTTAATATCTAGGAAAACCAGAGATCCATCCAATCATATTCTATCAACAGGACACGATGATACAAGATTGACGTTTTATTCTTGAGTCAGTCCCAGTGCGTGTTTGAGTTAGGCAAGCTAAATGACTTGTCAAAAGGATCTCAAAACGTACTTTGCTTTGTGTCATGATTCAGTATTAAAGAAGCAATATTTATGCAATCAATCTCTTCATGTGATAAAATCATCTAAAGAGACAGTACCTTTGGCAACTGCGCTGACATCTTCATAAAACCCTGCAATCATGGCCACGTGCCTGGGCCGAGACTCGGTCGGCACACGCGTGTGAGAGATGCCCCAGCTGCCTTCGTTCATTATGACATTCCTGAAAGGTATCACAGATGAGGAGTCAGCACACACTATGACCACATGCTCTGTTAAGGCTTTAGAAAAACAAGATCACCACAGAAGAAATCCAATCAAAAGAAGGAGTCAAAATTTAAGAAGGAATCTTTCTGATCCGAGCTGGGCTCAGTCCAGTTCCTCCCACCAGACTGACTCCGTGGCATAAGAAAGCCCAAGGAACTTTCTTAGACAAGGAAACACCCAACCACTGCACAGAATCAGAAAACAAAATACACGCTACAGCTCTAAGTCACAAAGTATTGAAACGCTGTGTTATATAAGAAATCACTGATACACAAAGTATTACTTTGTCAATGTTAAATTTTATTAGGTGTGATGATGATGTTGTGATCATGTTGAAGTCCTTGTTCTTAGGAGATACACACTAAAGTGTTTAGGGGTAAAGTGTTAAAATATTTTGCTTTCAAATTATTCAGGAAAAAATAATAAAGTTTAAGTGTGTATATGTGTGTATGTGTGTGTTGGGACAGAGAATGCAAATATGAAAAATGTTTAAAATGGTCATATCTAGATTAAGGATATACAGATGAATATTCATGATATAATCCTTTTAATATTTCTCTAGTTAAAAGATCTTGAAAATAAAAAAATTGAGAGGAACCAGCTATACTCTCAAATAGGAGTTAAATTATCTTTCTAAATTTGAGATTAAAACACGTCAAAAGTTTCTTTTGCTAAAATGTATCACCATTCTTTAAACTTTCTAAGGGTGATTTGCAAAATCTGGGGAAAAATGCAAAAGTAACAGTACTGCCATGGCAGGTGAAAGGCCAGCAGAGCAACAAGTCATGAAACATGAATTCATTCTAACGGTTTTCAAGCTGAACTCTCAACTCTCAAAATGTTCTGGAGAGAAGTACCTAAACGTGCTGATTTAGATACTTTTAACTGACTTATAACCAAACAGACTTTGGTAAAATACATACATAAGAAGTAAAAGGCTTGAAAAACCATTACACCACATGTTAAGAGAGAAATATTTTTTAACTTCTTCAGTTCTGTAATGGAAACTGAACTCAAGCAAAAACAGGGAGGTATAAAGCAATGTGGATACCTCTCTTGAGAAACATTTTGATCAGACTGTATTTTAAAAAAAAAATGAAGTGAGAAACAAAGAAAACCTACTAAAAAAGGCTTCAGAAGCAGCTCAAATGGCATATAGCACATGGCACATCACCTGGGAGCCCTCTGCCCTCCACAGAACAGTGCAGGGAGAAACATGTGCTGTCAGAAAAGCTCATCTTTGCCTTAACAACCAGTATGTTTTAATGTCATTAACTTGGCAATGAACTACATTTCTCTCCTCTCTATGACAACTAAGAAATTCAACCAAATATATCACCCCAATTTTTAAACTAGTCATAGAAATTTATGTTACATATTTTTGTGTACTGAACCTAACCCTGACAACCTTATTTTCCTACTCATATTTTCCTATTGCCCTGAGTTGCTTGTTTCTTTGTATCCTTTAATATATTATGCATTTCTTTGATGCATCATAAATTTATTCCTGGAAATCTGACATAGACTTCAGGTTCATTCATTCTTCTAGCAGTCAACAAATATTTATTAACTGCCTACTATGTTTTAGGAACCAGAGATAACGTAGTGTATAAAACAAAGTCCCTGCCTTAGTGGAAGTTGTACATGCTAAGTAGTACTACAAAGAAAATCAAAATAGGGTAGAGGGATAGGAAGCAATGATGATAGGTAGGGACAGGGTAAAGATAGACAATTTTAGATAAACTTCCCTTGAATTTGAGTTTTAATATCTCCACAGTAGCATTAGGAAGGGCTTTTGAGGGGCTTGCTATGAATGAAAAAAAAAGAACAGTTGATTGCAAGAACCCCACATGTCCAAAAAATTAAATATTTCTTTTCAAAGCCACTTAACAGAATCCAAAATTATCATATTACATAGTGATATAAATTTGGAAGGCTTTATTTTATAGAAAACGTATTTTGAATTGAAATTTATATTTTTTAGCTAAATACCTTTGTAATTGGCAATTCACTGAAATTTATGCTTGTCATTACTTAAAAATTGAACAGTCTTAGTTTACAAAAAAGAATAAAAGATAATATACTGAGTTGTAAGCCAGGATTCAGAAATCAGGACAAGTGAGGCCAAGCAGCTAAGGTCATGCATTTTGACTACCTGGTATCAACTTCCACAATAACAGAAGGAACTGTAGAAGGAAACACATTTGCTAATTTCTATGACAAAGACAGAGGCATATGTGCCCTACTCTCTTTTTCATCATCACCCCTCTACCCAATGTGAGATAAACAGTATCAGTGTAACAATTTCCAGAGATGTCTTTGTACCAGTTGACATGCTAACCTAACAAATGGTGCCCTAGAATTTCCATCTTCATCTAATTCATAAAGTTTATATGCTCGCAGGCCATCAGCGACAAACAGCACTAATCGTTTTGCTGGGGGAGGCAGGGCGTAAACTGAGGAATCATTCCATAAACCAAAGGAGAGGTAAAACACATGTTGAAGATGGAGGCGAAGAACACGAAGTGCACGAGCAATCCTAAAGTAACGTACAGCAGCATATCCAGAGGAACTAATCTATCTCCAAGAGAAACTGGAAAGAGGGAGCAAAACTAAATCTGGGTAAGCCTTAGTGCAAACAAATATGTTTTCAACTTATTTGATGACTAGAGCTGCCTGCCTCATTTTTCAGTCTCAAAAAACTTCTTCGTTTGGTGGACACTTTTTATTTCCTCCCTCTTTCAATAAGCTTCTTTGTTCTGCGGCTACTTGCCTTATCTACATGGCTTTCAAGTTTTCAAGTTGTGCTAAGAGGGCTTCCTTGGAGGCCCAAACGGTAAAGAATTCACTGGTAATACGGGAGACCTGGGTTCAGTCACTGGGTTGGGAAGAAACCCTGGAGATGTGGAACTGCAACACACTCACATTCTGGCCTGGAGAATTCTATGGACAGAGGAGCCTGGCGGGCTCTAGTCCACGGGGTCACGAAGAGTCAGACATGACTGAGCGACTTAAAAAAAAAAAGAGAGAGAGAGTTCTTAACATAAGATCTACCCTCTTAAATTTTTACGTGTAAAATACAGTATTTCAAACTACAGGCACTGTTATACATCAGATCTTGACAACTTACTCACTTTGCATAAGCGAGATTTTACAGCCACTGAACAACCACTTTCTTCCCTCAACACACCCCAAACCCATCATTGGGTGGATTATTTTCTGGATTATCTCAGACAAGGAGAAATGTGCACATTTGTCCTCCTGTGACTGACTTGTTTCACTGAGCAGTATATCCTCAACAACATAACCATTACATTGGCCAAAACTTGGTATTGTAATCTGTTTGATTTTGTCCAGTCTGTTAACTTATTGTGGTTTTAATTTACATTTCCCTGGTGATCAATAACATTGAGCTACTTTACATGCATGTAATGGACACTTTTTAATCCTCTTTTATCCCCTTTCCTTTTTTTTAACCGTGTTTTTCAAAGAGCAGTGCTTATAAATTCTTAAAGTTCAGTGAATTAACTTTTCTGTTGGCGATCGTATTTTGTGTTCCACCCAGGGAATTTTTGTAGATGACAACACTTTCTTTAGTACAGACTTTTAATATTTTTATTTTAAAATAGTTTCAAGTTCAGAGAAAAGTTGCAATAATGGTACAAACATTCATACACCCCTTAGCCATATATCTCTAACATTATCATTTTTTTCTGGTCCTTGCCTCATCTCTTTAACTTACCCCTCTTGTGTGTGTGGGGGGTGGGTGGGGGGAGGCGGGTATATACTTCAGTGTTTATTTTCTGACAATAATGATACTCCCCTATGTACCTACAGTGGTTACCAACTTCAGTAAACTCAACATCAGTATTTTACATAATCTACCATTTATACTCCAACTTTTTGAAGTGTCCCAGTAATGTTCTTCACAGCATTTTTATTGTTTTATTGAGGCATAACTGGCCTGTCATAAGCTGTGTACATATTTAAAGTGTATAATAATCACAGGAGAGTGAACATACTCATAACCCTCAAATATTTCCTCATGCCCCTGTGGTTCATCCCTATATATTTCACTTTTTGATGTTATTGTAAATGGTATTTATTTCAGTTTCCCCTCCTTAGTTTTTAAATTACCACTGATTTTTATATATTCACCTTATATTCCGCAACACTGAAAAACTGTTTGTTATAGTAGTTTTTATGTAGATGCCTTTTGATTTTCCAAGGAGAAAAATTATGTCACCTGTGAATAAAGGACTTCATCCTTATCAATCTATATACTTTTTATTTATGTCTCATGCTTGTACTGTCCAGGACTTCTAGTGTAATGATGAATAGGTGTGGAAACAACAGAAATCCCTGCCGTGTTTCCAGTCTTACGGTGAAAGTTGTCAGTTTTTCAGGGTTTTTTTTCATAGATTCCTTTTGTTGCATTAAAGAAGTTCCCTTGTAGTCTCAATATGCAGTTCTAAAGTTGTGAATGAAAAATGCCAGATTTTGTCAAGTGCTTTTAACAAAAGCAAAAGTCAGAGGGGAGGATCATGTGAGATCCTCTCCTGTGAGAGGACCAAGACCATCTGGTTTTTCTCTTTTGGTCTCTCCTGGTGTGGGGTCTCTCCTGGCGTGGGGCCTACTGGTGTGGGGTCTCCTAATGTGGTGAACTACAATGATGGAGTTTCAAATGTTAAATCAAGCTAGGGTTCCCAGAATAAACTGAACTTAATCATTAAGTATTATCCTTCCTATATATTCTTGGATTTTATTTGCTAAAATATTTAGTATTTTAAATTAATATTTATTAGTGATATTAGACTATAATTTTTTTTGTAATGTCTTTCTCCGGTTTTGGTGTCAGACAATGCATTGGGAAGTGTTATTACCTTTCATGTTTTGGAAGAGTTTGCGTACAATTAGTACTATTTCTTCCTTTATTGTGTAACAGG